TATATATATATAGCCTGTAAATCATGTTCGGCATATGACATCATATAACTACCTCTATTTTCAGCTTCACGAGCCTACATTAACTAAATAATTAATGCATTAATTTAGAACATGGATTCGCATACATTGATTAGCCTGCTATGGTTAACTTAATTGCACAAAAGAGGCTACTAGATCTATATATAACCTTTAGGAGTTTGATTTCTGCATCACCCAAACTCGGTTCTTTGGCCATCTCAGTTTGAATGCAGTAGAGAGAGTTCTCAAGCACATAGAACAGACTCGGTATAAGGGAATCCAGAAGTGGTACACTTGTCAGTGAGGCAACTAGGAGATTCAAGGCAGCTAAAGCAATAAAATATTTTTCTAATTAAATTAACAACTACGGTATATATAATTTTGCATTCACCTAATTATATGACCATACTAGTAACTACAAATTTAAATGGGTATATATATATATATTATCTCCTGATTATATATATATATATATATATATATATGATCTTTAAACACTACTTTTGAACTAATGTAACTGATAGCTGAAATAACAGAAAACGCTAATGGCAAATTAAACGTACCATCCTGCAATTTTCCAGCACAGCTCGTCAGCTGACAGAGTTGTAGCCAGCTCTCGTGGTAATCATTTGCACTTCTCGGTCTAATACCATCTGAGACGCTTATTTTTCTCTAAAATATTACGCAAGCCTATACATATATATATATATATATATATATATATATTAATTATACATTATAAATAGGTATTAGTAAATTTAGTATCAATGACTTCAGTGGAATGAAATTAGTCACATGTATGTGGGAGTAAGACCAAGGTGATGATCAACTTGCCCCTATATGCATAAGAATCTGAAGAGCTTTCTGATCAATTGTCTTTGGCAGTTTTTCATTGTTCTTCCTATACTTTTTTATCCTCTTTTCTGTGAGCTCCAATGGATTTCTTCTGTAAATTGAACAAATAACAAGGCTCAACAGTGCTTGACGGATTGCCTCATGTAAGTGGTTTAATTGCACTGTAGGACAAGTGCATTTACGAGCATTTCCCCTGTTAGGGAGTACTATATATACATTTGGATATACAATGTTATTTTTTTAATTGAGAATGTCTATGACTATGATATGGTAATAAAGTAGAAGTTTTGTCTACACTTTTTTTCGAGTGTCACAAGTTTTCAACAACGAGTGTACGGTGGTGAAGTTACAGTCATTACAGAGCTAGTGTAATTTCATTTGAGTGTACGAATCTGCGTTACGTTTGCAATGATCTACATTGTATTTTACTAAAGTTACGGTTTATAGTTAAACTTATACCTATACTTAGATTTAGCGTTGCAACGCGTAGTTTCTTGCATTCGCCATTGTTCATGTATCATGTGCTCTTGCATATCCAGTCTATAGCCATGTGACAATAGACCAAACGTATGCTTAACTGGTAATCTAGTTACTGGCATGATAACTGTATTTATCTGAACGTCGCACTGGTAGAGAAACGCACAGCGTAGGCAGTGTCACTAGGCAATCATTTAGGACGTCTCATAGTTGTCTGATTTGCAGTATGTCATCCTTGGCTGCCATGACACTAGAATGAAACTAGGGTAACGGCCAGCGAGTCGTGGCATTATTAGACGGTACGGCCTAACAGCGATCAATGATCAATATTCTGGTCCCTTTTTAGATTGAAAATGAGTATTTTAGCCAATAATCATAATGGCATCGAGATCACAGAATGTAAACATCGAAAAGTGTTTGGTTTCCGGGTGAATGTTCCGGAAACTAACCGTGCTCGCTGTGACGTGTCATTTTTGGTAAACAAAGATGGCGACACCGTGGGCACCTCACAAGAAATACTCCGACCGAGATAGGTAGCATTACTATGTAACGAATGTGTTGGGCTCAGTATCAGAGTTAAATATTATAATATACGGTAATGTGTTATCAATGTGTGGTATCGTGCTGCGATACAATTGTGCCGATTGTTTGTAATGTAGCAGTACAGGGTTCTCCAAGCTGGGGGTGCTGCTCAGTGCTAGGGGCCAGGGCACAGCTGTCGCCGTGCACTGCACACGACCCCTGCGTATATATTTTATTGAAACGCTTCAAGTGCCTGTGGCTAGGGGGGTCCGGGGGCATGCTCCCCATGAAAATTTTTGAATTCTAGAAGCTCTGAGATGCAATCTGGTACACTCTGTGTGTAAATTTGAAGCACTGCATGTGGGGTGAAAATGTTTGTTTTGCATGGGCAAAGTTATCGGAAAATTCAAAATAATAATGGAATAAAAATAGGCCGTGGCTGCTCGACCGGGTGCGAGTTTTTAAATCGTAGGATGGCGACGGAAGGATAGGACGCCTGGACGGTAACTGATGGTGACGTAGGATGGCGACTGATTAGGGTTAGGGTTAGGGTTAGGGGCAGGGTATTAAAGCACGAATAATTTATCAATCTTCAGTTGCCATCCTACGATTTAAAAACTCGCCGACCGGGCCCGGTCGAGTACCGGTAGCCTCCAGGTTGCTTGTCCGGACATGCATTTCTCGCGAGATCTTGCGACACGTCCTCGCACAACGCCAACGGGACGAAACTGGTGATTGCCGAAAGTATTTATAAGCATCTCTGTTATTGCTTGATTTTCTTTGAAAAACAGTCCTGTGATTCATATATGTCTTGCCTAATGGATGTATGTGTATATATACATATTAAATAATTGCCTAATATCCAAGCCCCAATAAAAAATGCTAGCTAGCCTGGCTGTAGTTAGTAGAGTAGAATAGACTCAATACAATACTGTCAATAGGTCTGACAATCAATAGTACCTAGGCTACACTACACTACACTACTGTACTGAGTAGTGAGTACTGTGCCGGTTCCATTGGTGCTATACTTGTTGCAATGGTTGTCCCATTTCATAATTGGCATTGGCCATCTCGGGGCATTACACTGTCCATACCAACTCGACTCATAGTGTACTATTACTCGCCCATAATGAACTATGTATTAAATCATCAGTTCGTGTAGCCACAAGTTCCCTTCTCGCTTAACACTATGTTGGCTATGTCTACAGGCGTTTACACTACGTCCTACGCCGTGTAACAGTCGGAGAGCCTGGTCGGTTTACAATTCGTGATGCTGAGATCTGGTTGTTTTGGCCGTGATCTGGTCCAATAAAAAAGGCAGAATACAGAGAAGGAGAGGAGCATGAGTGACTACCTAGATGCAAAATATTGAAAGCAAAAGGTTATACACCATAGATTAATTGGGTACTATAACACGCGTATATAAGATAGCCGAGTCGGTTTAGAGTTAGTGTTAGGGTTAGGGTTGGGTTAGGGTTAGGGATAGGGTGACTGTTTGTACTTGTGTGTGGGACTGCCGTACCCGTAGCCTCGAGACATTAAGATACGGCTGCAGCGCATGCGTAGTGTGACTGCCGTACCCGTAGCCTCTGCGTATAAACAACGTGTATTAATTGTTTGAACTTCTTGTGTATACACCAGCATGGCGGCTATGATATTTAGTGTGGCGGGTGCATTTTAGGATGGCGGGGCTCGTTGATAGCCTGGCGAGCCGCCAGGCTATAAGTGCTCTTGGAGAACCCTGTGTAGGCCTAACTATTTTTCTCCTGTGTTACATAATTATAATATTTGTATGTATTTGATTTATTACACGTTGACTTTCATTGGGATTTTCAGATGGATATGCATTTATCCCGCTTACTTCAATTCGAAGAGAACCGTGTTTGAAGGAAGGCGGCTGCCTAAAAGCAAGGTAATTCGCCTTTGGATTTTGCTGTAAATCGTAATTTCTTGTAACGACTTCCATATTGCATATTGTCATGATAGATCTATATCTAATGTTGAGATACATTGTCATTAGTGACATTGCATATAATAATGTCAAGTAACGGTGATTTAAATTATGGAAACTTGAGTCATTGATAGCAGGAAGCCCGAAACAGTAGATTAATCATTTAATTTATATTTTTTCAGTGTATCGATAATCCAACGGCTTCGGAGATCAATGATGTATTGACAGCTGCTGGTTGCACTATAGAAATAGAAGTAAGTTGTGAAGTAACAGGAGCAGGGTTTCTTCAACATAAGAGGCACAGCGGCGCACCACCGTTGTCAAATTTAACATCGCCATTGTGAAAATGTTCCTGTATTTACCCGCCGTTGTCAAAATAGTGTCAACCCCAAAATAAATAGATTACCATGTGCTTCTGGCATGCGAGAGGGGGAGTTCCCCCTCTTCCTCTCTCTGCCCTCGTCCGCCTGCAGCGTCCGATCGCGTGCCCACGGCACGCCTTTGAATCCATCATGAGCGTTTTTTTCACAAACTGGCCATTACCGCCTTTGTCTAATTTTCCCAGCAGAAGAAACGCTGAGTAGTGAACCTACATGTCCAATACAGATCTATCTCTAATGTGGTTCTGGGTGTGCTGACATTCATGAGACTCAGCCCAGTTATTTATATTTTCCTGACAGTTGTGTAAAATACCAAAATGATTTATTAAAAAAAGAAACCTTATTTTGTATTAAAGAACTGGTTTGGCAAAGTTGCTAAGCATGCCCTCCAAGTATCACCAAACATGCGTTCACGACTCCGTGATTAGACATAATAATGTGCGGTTACTCATTGGCTCACATAAGCCCCTATCTATTGGTCTCAAAATACATTTAGATGTCCTTTATGTGGAACTTGGCCACTTCGCAACATATCGTTCGTGTGTCATGTAAATTACTTCTTAAGCTCCAGGTTGGATTCAGTGGTGATAGCTAGCCATTACCCCTAAATCTAACCTGAACCATAATTATATCCCCAAACCTAACACTAAACATAACCCTAACAATGTTTCTGATCTAGCCATGTGCATTTTCTCTCCAGAATAAGGTTCATCCACGGGAACCAAACAAATTTGATCCGAACTACCGGGGTCGAATTCGTGTACAGCTAAGGAGTGAAGATGGCGCTCCGCTCAGTGACCAGTTTGCCACACGTATGTTAAATTCTATCTCACGTAGACAGCATTATAATCAGTCTATAAAGAAGATCCAGTGACAAATTGCTTATAAGAAGTAGATTGATAACATTGTTGATGTCGTACCATAAACATAATAAACATACGTATAAAATGAGCACTCAGTGACACTACAGTTTTTGGTTGCTTCACAGATGCAATTTTATTGTTATCGCATTGTGCCACTAGATGGTAGCTTTAGGTACCATCATAAACATATGTATAGACAATGTAATCACGTACCAGTGAATTTAAGCAACACTATTTGTTTGTAACATGTGGTATTACTGTACCCTTCTCTTGTACTCAAATATCAGATAGAATGAACTGAAGAATCAGTTTAGTGGAGGACTGGAGATTGTAGGGCTCATCTATTGATAATTATGGCCAAGCTACATTATTACATTGCAGGAAAAGCTACACTCAACTATCTATGTGAAATGATCCCGAAGTTAAAGTCGAGACAACAAAAGCAGGGTGCAGGGGATTCTGGTGCCCAGCCGGGGGCATCAGCTGGAGGCAAAGACAAGCGAAAGGGAAAGAAAAAACGATAACGTTGTATGGAGTAAATGTTTTATTTGTAGCATCTATGGGATTTTACCTTATCTGTGTTCATCACTAATCAATAAATGTCATTCTTTCATCTACATAATCACATGCTTTATGTTTATTTGTTTTAGTATGATACGAGTGGTGACTTGTGCCCGCTATTTATATGTGGCATTTGTACTGATTATACATTAGTAGCGAAAGAAGATGTGCAGGACTTAAAGTGATTGCAAAGGTAATCATTATTTGTTCACCTTTATGTTTATTGCTACCATTCCCAGACGGTTTACCCAAAGAAATAAAAACTTTCAGCCAAGTATTCATTTTGATATTTATTAATCCACATTTCACTATATTTTATAACCAGAATGTTTTTTGGCAGCAGCGCGAGTTGAGAAGCTGCCACCCTGTATGTCTAATATACAACTTGGGGGGGTTACAAGTTTCTCTGCGGGGTTGCATAGGCAGACGTCATTTCATATTGAAACTAGAAACATTTACGATTTTTAGCAAAATTTCGCATCTCGTACGGCGTTCACACCAACGTGTTCAGCCGACCATTACCATCACGCGACACGTGGATCCTCGACATCGATCCTCCGTTTAAACCCGCGTCGGTATAATCGTCATCGTTTCGTCGCATCACGCTGCATGTGACGTCATCCCCTGCCCGCGGATATCCCCATATTATTTCTGCGTAATCTGTCGCATCAGCTGAACGTATCGGGGCCGGGCCGGACGCCGGTGGCAAATCCAAATCGGCTTGGATCAGATCATCGCTATTTCTTCTAATATCGCTCTGCATAGAAGGGTCGCGCTCTCCTAGCGGCGTCACTCTGTCGGCGATGTCCGGTAAGCCCCAGGGTTTTGGCTGTAGCTGCGGTGGCGCCGTCTGGTAGCCAGGTACCTCTTGTTGATGGGAACTACCGCCACTGTCATCACAACCATCGCTTTGGTCGTTCACTATCGCAGTGGATGGCTGTGAGTAACTATGCTTCGCCACGTAGTAGACAGCAATGATGGCGACGACAAGAACAATCGCGAATCCACTAAAGCTGAGACCAAGGACGAGTCCGATGTTAAAGTCTGATGCTGGGGTAACAGAGACTCTGACGGAATTATTCGACGTCTGACAACCGACTGAGTTGCTGACGGTGCATGCGTAGTCACCCGCATCTGCGAAGGTAGCAGATTCTTCGAGGTAAGCGCTGCTCTCTTCGCCGATCAGCACCGATCCGTTGTGAAGCCACGAATAGCTGGGTTGCGGGTTGCCGTCGGCAACGCAGAGAAGCAGCAGCAAGCCGCCGTCGACGACGGTTACGGTGTCCACCTGACTAGGACCTCTTACGGTAACCGCCTCTTCCAGGTACTGAACTAGAAGCTTTACCTTCATCGATTCCGGCTGAATTGACTTGTGGATGTCGATGTGGCAGCTAAGCGTTTTACGTTGGTCGGCGGCAGTGAACGTGCGCGTGAGCGTGCTGTGAGTCGTTACTCTACCGTCGACCTCGGTAATATGTGAAGTACGCGATCCGTCTAGAGCTGCGTGATCAAGCTTCCAGGTTACTGTCCCGCCCGGGAAGCTCTTACTCGCAGTGCAGCTAGCGACGCGTGGTCCTGCAGTTATTGTTGCGATATGTTCAACTGTAAAGCTGTCTATGATCATGGTGACATTCTCAGCGGGCACTGCCACGCTCACATTCAGCATATTGCTCGACGCGTAATCTCCAAAGACGCTGGTCACGTTGCACGAATACAATCCTCTGTCCTGGAACGTTATAAACCGTATGACTAACTCGTTTGAGGTCGTTCCCGTTGGTTGAGTCTCGTTGTTGTCACGAAGCCACGTATAGAACGGTTCCGGATAACCGTCAGCGTTGCACCGTAACGTCACGTTCACCGCTTCCGGTATGATGACGTCATTCTCGGCAGGTTCGCCGACGCTGCTGATCGTCACAGTTTCGCTCAGGTATAGCGTCTCTGTTTTATTCACTGCACGTAGTTCCTCATGAACGAAGACGTGGCAGCGAAGCATCTTCTCGTTGTCGTCTACCGAGAAAGTGCGACTCAGGGTGCTGTTAGTGACGAACGTTTTATCGTCCGATTCCTTGTGCTCTTGATGCGCGTCAGAACTTAGGTCCTCTTCGTCCAGCCACCAGCTGATGATCGCTGCCGGTTTACTACTGTTCGACACGCAGGAAAACTGCAGGGTCCCGTTCGGTGACGACGCGCCGCTGATCGGTGACACAGTGACAAACCGTGGTGACACGAGCACCGTAAGTGTCGCCGCGTGCGACGTCGGGAAGTCCACGGGCTCTAGCTCATGTCGCCACCACACGCAGCGAAATTCCGCGTCGTCCTCGCGCACGCGCAAGTCGCGAATGTTCATGCTGAAATCTCCCAACTTGTACGGACCGTCGTCGTCGAGAAAGTACGAGTATCGGTCGTCGTCGGCGAAATTGAGCAAGCTGTCGTTGCGAAGCCAATCGGCCGATATGGGACCTGCGCCGCCGGGGTCGTAGGTCATGTCAAGCTTACAGTGCAGCGTCAGGTTGGTTCCTTCAGCTGCCGACGTGTTACTTGGTTGCTGCAGGAACTGCGGCCTCGTCGTTGTTAAAGCTGCGCACAAGACGAATGCGACACGGAGCATCATAACACTGTCGTCGTCATGCTGCACGATGACGATGTGCCGTCGTCAGAGTTGTCACTCTTGTTGAAGAATCGTCTCATGGCTGTAATTCCAGTAAAATGACGTCTTCCGTGTCATCATCGTCGAGGGCCATTACCAAGGTAAGCGAAAAGTCATCAAAGAGTCATCAGGTAATCAAAAGATCAAGGTCGTCAAAAGGTCGTCATGGTCATCAAAAGGTCATCACCAAGCTAGTTTCCCAACGATCGCCGGATATCATCGCGCTGTATTGATGAACGTGATTGTAAGAGTAAAATCACGCGATCGCAAGAACGCACGCATAACATCACTGCATGGCAGTCACGACCCCCGGGGGAGCACTCCCTATATATTGTATGGTAGGTATGTGCCGCGGGAGAGACCCCCCTTTTCACCTCAAAATTTCTGTTTCGGAGACCCCTCTTTTTACATATTTTCCAGTTCGCAGATGACGGGCCCCTTCTTCACTTCCGTCTGGAGGCCCCCTTTCACATATTGTTCCGCTCCGGAGACCCCCTTCTCACATATTATTTCCGGTCCCTGCGCATATGTCCTACTTTTTTTTCCGCACGTTCCGGAGCCCCCCCCCCCCAATTTGACGTGCTGAGTTAGTACCGGAGCTCCCCAATTCCATCTCTCAAGTGGCACATACCTACCCTATTTTGTAGGGAGTGCCCCCTCCCGGGGGGTCACGACACGAGCGGCGACCGTCTAAACTCGACGGACATTTTAAAGGTGCAGTCATTAAGACATTCTTCGGTGTTGGATCGTATTCTCTCGCGTGTAATACAAGCTAGGCAAATCCTACGCAGAGTATTGGTGAAATTACAAATGGTGTGTCAATGCTGCGAAGATGGCCGCCGTCGAGTATCTCGCTGTGCGGTATCTGCCACACGGAACATTATTATGCAGATATTATATTCCTGTGAAAGAAGAACAACACCATTAGAAAAGGTTGACAAACTATGGCATTTATCGTATAACCCGGTCGCATATTTACGTTTAGAACTCCCTCCCCCGACACACGCGCGCGCGCACACACACACACACACACACACACACACACACACACACACGACGCACGCCACGCACGCACGCACGCACGCGCACACACACACACACACATGCGCGTGGTGCGAGGGTGTTCATATAGTGTGATAGAGTGTATAGTAATTAGAATTGATAGAGCCGAGCGGATATCGGACGAGAGTGGCGGGAAACAGTAGATGCATATAAATTGTACACTATATAGCCATCGGGAAACGTTTCAGAAAAACCATCCGAATTCCAAACGGGATTGAGGACTCATGCACCACACGCACGCACCCACACGCACATACACGCACGCACCCACACGCACATACACGCACGCACCCACACGCACATACACGCACATACACGCACGTACGCGCATGTGCACAAACCGCGTTTTGGAACTCGAATCAACAGTGGAAAATGTAGGGCGTTGTATTGATGGAATGTATATTTGCTAACACCACACATGTCGCGTCTTTTGTCCGTTTACATAATGTTAACGTGAAATTTAAAAACGTAGCTCTTTGAAGTTTCACGGGGTACCAGGCGCTCTGTAGGCAAAATAACACGGAGTTTCGTAGTCACGCTAGTTGCGCCATTTTCTTTATTAGATAATAGCCACGTTTCCCTTCATGTCACACGAAACTATACGAACGCGCAACATATATTGCATCACACGAAATACCATAATTGAGTCACACGTACAGGTTTACATGCCTTTTTAGTAATCATAAACAAAACATAAAATTAGTTAGCCGGTAACTTTCACATGCTTCTTTACTTGGCCACAGTAGTTTTCGTCCGTTGGGTTTATATTGGACTGAAAACTATATCCCGGTAACTACAGCTTGGGATAAGCGCGTTCAGCTCGTGGGTGAGCCAGGTTCTAATATAACCGATATAATGTGGTAATATGAAATAATGATGTACCAATATAATTACGTACAAACAAAGGAGACACCGGCTGGGGCTGGATATTTACCTGATAATGAAGGAGTTGATTGTGGACGCTTCGCCGAACTATATCTTATCTGTATCAGTAGGCCTACCTCTGAGAATTGCGTGAGAACCACCATCCTTGATGATTTGAGGCAGGCTTATGGCAATCAGACACACACTAAGCTCATGTGGCACTCAACCTCCTTCGCACGCACTTGTTTCGGTGAATTTTGGCGCAATGAGATAATATATATCTGTGTTCTTATCACACGAAGGCGCTGGAGTTGCAACCTCAAAATGTGATTTCAGATAACGCAGGCCATGCAGTTTCACAGCAATACCGGCTAAAATAAGGGTAACTTTACTATCGATGTAATAGTAACGTTAGTACTAGTAACATATGATATAATAGTTATAGATGACTAATGACAGAGGTTTCAAAAAACCTTGGTTGGGAAAAT